CTGGTGGAAGCCGCGGGGCCGGTCATGCGGCTGCGGGGCCCGCGGCCCGGAGCGTCCGCCCAACCCTGAGCGAGGTGAGCGCGAGGGGAGGGTCCTGGAAGGAGGTGGGCGCGGGGGCTTCCTCTGGAGGTGGCTAGGAGACGGCGCTTGGGGCTAAAAGGGGCCCGAGTGGCTCCGGGGGCTGAGATTCTGGCGGTCGGACGCCCGAGTTCGGGGGCAATGGGGGATGGAGGGACATTTGGGCCTAAGGAATCCGGGAGGACGAGGTCCGAGGGTCCCAGAGTGGGGCAGTTATACTCTTAATGTCTGAGTCTTGGAGACCGTGGGCACCGGGGAGGGTGCAGGCCAGGTCCTTGAGGGAGGCGGTCCTGGCTGAGGGGGGAGGGCCCGGGCCAGGTAAAGGCAGGCTGGAGTCTGAGAAGGGGTCCCCAGAAAGAGGGAGCACGTCTCCCAAGGTATTGAAGGGAGGTGGAGTTTGGACTTGGGGCTTGGAGAATGGGACCCCGGGGATCCAGAAGCCTATATCCAGGAAAGGCTGGGATAAAGAAGGATAAGGAGGAGGCTCCGGGCCTGGGAGGGAGGGGGTCCCAAAGGAGGAAGGGCTGGAGGCTGGAGGAGAATGAGGGGATCTGGGCGGGCCTTTTAGAGTGAGGAGGAATCAAGCGAGGAAGGAGGGGACCTCCAGAGGGGAAGTGACAAGGGTGACGTTGGCAAGGTCCCAGCTGGGAGTCTGAGAAGCCAATGGGGGGAGCTGAGGTCACCTACCTGGGACTAAGACAGTCAGGGTGACAGGGGTTTCGATGCTGGTTTCCGAGGTGAGTGGACTGGAAGAGGAGCAGACAGCTGGCAGTCAAGCCCTGGAGCCATGGGACGGGGGATGGGAGGAAAAGCTGGTCGGAGCCCTGCCAGTCTCGGATTCCTGAAGCCTCCAGGAAGGCTGGGGGTGTGGCGGGTGGGCTGGGGGCACTAGATGCTGCAGTGTGTGTGGGGGGGGGGCAGGCGGGATGAAGATTGTCTCAAACTCCAGGCTTCTTATTGGGGTGGTGTCAAGTTTCAAGGCTACAAGAATTCTGGTTAAGGAGAGTGGGGTCTCAAGTCTTGGCTGCATTGTTGGGGGGCTGTTGATTAGGGGTCTTAACCTTCATAGTTAAAACGGTGATGGAGATTGTGATATTCGTGTAGGTTGAGGTCTCTGGTTGAGATAGGATGGGGATCCCAATTTGAGCCCCCCAAATCATGAGACTGTGTGGTTTAGGGAAATGTTCTTGATGAAGGGTGAGTGTGGTGGGTAAGGGATTAAGAGCTCTCTAGTTGCAGTCTCCAGATTTCTGACTGGAATTTTGGAGGCCACAGCCTTGAACTGAGGATCTCTTTTTTGAGGGTCCAGTGTTAGGGACATCTGGGTTCCAGGTTGGATGTTGAAGAGGGTCTGTATTCGGAAGTCCTAGTATGGGAAGTTGGAGTCCAGAACCTCTGGTAGGGAATCTGGGCATCTTGTAATGGGGATGGGGGGAATGGGGATCCTGGGCTTCCTGATTCGGGTCTTAGAGTTCAGAGCACTGATCCCTAGTTTGAAGGAGGGTCACTTGTTTGACTGGAGTGCTCTGATTAGGGTGCTGAGATGGGGGACTCCCAGATCATGGTTTTGACATTCTGGAGTCTCTAGCCAAAATCCTGGCTCCAGGTCTCTGGGCCCCCATATTCTGGGATCCAGCAACATGGGGTGGAGTTCTAGCATTCCAGGTTCAGGGGCCTGCGGGGATTTGGGATGGGGGTAGGGGGGAATTAAGGTTCTGGAATCTTGGATCTGGGTCGTGGTCCATGATCTCAGACTGGGATACCAAATTGAGGTCAAAACACCATATCAGAGTTAGAAGGTCAAGGTCTTGGTATTAGAATTGGATGTTAAGGGTCAAGATACGAGTCCAAGGGTTTAAACTTAGATGGGAGGTCTGAGGTCAAGGCCAGGGTATGGGGTTAGGGTCCTTGGCTAGCGACCCACTTGGGGGATTTCTAGTTGCTATTCAGAGACAGAGTCCAAAAGAAAGGGGTCAGGGTGTCAGGTCTGGGCATGGAGTCAGGATCGGTGGCCTAGGTTAGGGTTTCTCGACAAGTTACTGGTTCAAATCCAGGGATGGAGTCATAGGTCAGGACACAGAGGTCAGATTTGAGAGGGTTCAGTTTGGGGATTGTTGTTTCTGGCCTGGGTCCGATGTCCCACGTGTCTGCACGGGGTTTGGGGACTCTAGTGGTCCCATCAGGGCCCTTCACTGCAGCTTCCCGTCCCTCAGGCCCCGCAGGGCGCCCCCCGCCGCTGAGGATGAGTCACTGCAGTAGCCGCGCCCTGACCCTGCTGAGCAGCGTGTTTGGTGCGTGTGGCCTGCTGCTTGTGGGCATTGCGGTCAGCACGGACTACTGGCTGTACATGGAAGAGGGGACGGTGTTGCCACAGAACCAGACCACGGAGGTCAAGATGGCGCTGCATGCCGGCCTATGGCGCGTCTGCTTCTTCGCAGGTACAGACCTCACCTGCCCACCAGTCAACTGTCCCTGCCTTGCTTGGGATCCGAGAGTCTTTATCCATAGTTCCATCCCATGGGTGCCAGAAATCCGGAAATCAGTCCTGTTTCTCTCCTGGAGAGTCAAATTTCTACCTGGAGATTCAATTTCTAGCCCTTTATTCCCTGGATCTAAGAACCCTAATGCTCACACAATCTCCAGGTCCCTAATCCCTGTAACCTCCTGGAGCCCCTGGCCCCTTAGAAGCAGCAGTCTAAGTTCAGAACTTGTCTCCTGGACAGTTCCAGAGCTGAATGGGAAGGAAAAAACAAAACAAAAAAACCCCTGTGCCTCCCAGCTACCACAGAGACCACTCCTTCTAGGAATCCTGTCCCACCTCACCCCCCAGACCTTACCTCTTTAGGGATCCAGGAGTCCTGGCCCATAGCCCCTCCTCACTTGGGACTCAGTCTTCCAGCCCTGTCCTCCATCCAAGGGACCCTAAGGCAGCTTGCAATAGGAGCTCTTGGACTCCTGCCCACCCCCTTCTGCGACCCCCTGACAGTAGTACAGACCATGATCCTTGGATTAAACCTCACATTCCCATCCTGGGGTCTCTCTACTGTGCGTCCTGCCCCTGACTGCCTCTCCAAAGCTCAGGAGCCTCTCATCCAGCCCTGCCTTCTTATCTTCCCCTCAGGCCGGGAAAAGGGTCGCTGCGTGGCCTCAGAATATTTCCTTGAACCGGAGATCAACTTGGTGACGGAAAACACGGAGAATATTCTGAGTGAGGGGAAGCAGCGGGTGGGGAGGGTTAGGCAACAAGGGGGCAGGGTGACAGGGCGGGTCCTGGGAGAAAGGATAGGACCAGAGAAGGGGTGGGGTGGGAGGGAAGGAGTGGAGGCTTGAAGGCAGGCAGAGTGGTTGGGTAAGGAGGAGGGGCCAGATTGAAGGGGTGGGGCCTGGGAAGTGGGTGGAGTCAATAGGCAAGGGGTGGGGTCAAACCAAAGGAGGTGTAGCCTGTGTGAAGGGGTGGGGCCAGCAGTGGAAGTTTCAGAAAGGGGAGGAGCCACATAAAAGAGCGGGGTCAGGGCTTCCCTGGTGGCGCAGTGGTTGAGAGTCCACCTGCCGATGCAGGGGACACGGGTT